ATTTATGATTTTAAGGAGATGATACTCCCATGGGTAGGGAGAACCCCAGATTCAAAAATAATGTGTCCTAAGAAATCATTCCTGCTGCTTGCCCTAAAATGAAGACAGGTGTCAAGAGAAAAGGTAGAATTTTAGTGTTCATACTCAGTTCGAAGACAGGAGTATCAAAACAGGTTGAGAATACTACCTAAGGAAACAGGCATAAGTAAACACTGCTTACAAATGCGTGGACGGAAGCAGAGGTTGTCCAGCGCTGTGCTGCACATGCACGGGGGGAGGGGTGGGCATGTATGCACAGTGTGTACGTGTGGGTACGTGCACGTACTGTAGTTAAACCTGATTTGCACTGTGCTAAAACTATGTGAGAGTTCCAGAAGGAGGCGGGGAGATGTGTGATTGCTGACTCCGCGGTTTACCCAGAGCCTGGGGCAAGGAGGGAACCAGGGGCTGAGTAACTCGGGAGAGAGAGAACGAGCCTTCCAGAATTAACAGTTTTCTCAAGCAGTTTTCAGAGTGAACATTTAAGAGACCTGCACATTAACTCAAACCACCCATGGAAAAATGCTTGAATGGCACTTGAGCTTACACCCACTTTAACACACACATTTGGGAGCTTCCTTTTTTTCTTCTCCCTGACCCTCCAGCAACTTAAGAAAATGTGGAAGGACAATATCATCTCCATTTTATAGTTCAGGAAACTGATGGCCCTCAAGACGGTCACGTATTTGCCGCAGCCAGCAGGCAGAGGTGTGTTCGCTGCTTTCCTGGCTGCTCCCCGGTCCAGTTCTCTCCTCCCCCGTGAGGGGAGGCCCGGCAGCAGGACAGGGCTCCTGACCGGGGCTCCGCAGTGCTGTGCGGAAGGGCCTGCAAGTTTCGCTGGGAAAGAGCGGTCTCGAGGTAGTTAGAGGAAGAAAAGCAAAAGCCATCAACAAAAGAAGCACCCCAAGAAGATAAAACATGGAGGCGAGAATTTTAAAAGCCTAACGATCCAGGACCCATAGGCGTAAGGCCTGGAGCGGTGCACCCACCAAAAAGGGAAGAGACTTTGTGGCAGTGACGCCCGAGGCGCCAATCCCAAGACACAAGGCAAAGGGCTCCTTAGGCCCTCACTCCTTCAGGAAGGCAGAGAAATGCAGGCTCCACTTTCTATACTTTTTTTTTTTTTCATTTAAGTGGTTAAAATAGAACAACTATTTGGAACTCAGCAGTCATTTGAGTGAATAATGGCATTCCCCTCCGGCCCTGAGTAAACAGGCAGCAGGGCTTGTCGAGGGTGAGAATGACCTGGGGACCAGCCTGGCTGGACTCAGCAGGTAACAAAAAGACAGGGACCCTCTCCTGTGGTGGAGAATCAGTGTCCACAGAGCTGCAGGGACTCAAGCATCATGTCACCTGGTCTGAGAGACAGGCCAGGAGGGTGAGATCCAAAATGAAAGAGGAGAAACCAGGCTCACGCAGACAAGATCAGAAAACTACAGCCAGCCAGCCAGAAAAGATAAACAGGTAAGGGAAGGGATCGAGGTGCCCAGATACCCCTCAGGAATCCAAGTCTCACCCGGGAGCCACCGTCCAAAATGTAAGCTGATAGTAAATAAGCTGTAATCTTGGAAATTATAAGGCCCACGATAAGAAACATGTGCTGTTGGGATGACAGAACATTCTCGTGGCCGATAACATTTAAAAACCTGAAACGAGAGCTGGATACCAGAGTCTGTTCCAAGACCAGGACGGCGAACGGGCCAATGGGAATAGATCTGTCTGGCTAGAAAGGAGGTAACCAAGCTTCTGCAGATCTACTTTTAACCCAACTTTCCCCTTTATTCTCACTTCCAATTCACTGTCCATGTTTTCTCTTTCAGGAGGAAGGGGAGCAGCTCCTCACACTGTTGCCCCTTCACCTTCTCCTGGGAAACTCGCCTCTGCCCTCCTAGAATCAGGCCATTCTCCCCGGTACCAAAGCGAACGCTTCCCACCCGCCACCCCCCGGAGCGCTGTGGCTGAGAGCAAAGAAAGGCTGGATGCCATGGGAGCACTGAAACCGGCCTCTCAAAACGGGCACCCAGCCTGTGCAGGAGAAGCTAAGCCAAGGCCCACTGCAGAGGGCTCTTCTCCCGGGAAAGAGAGGACGGCAGCCAGTCAGTTCAACCCGTGTCCCTTGTGACAGTTTGTCCCCATCTCAGAACCTCAATTTCCCGCCCCTCCTGTGAAAAATGAGAATAGTGCCTCGCATCTGGAAGGAAATCGAGATGTGTTCCCATCCCCTGTCCCCCTATTTTATTTTATTATTTTTTAATCCTCACCCAAGGATGTGTTATTGATTTGAGAGAGAGAGGAAGGGAGATGGAGAGAGAAGCTTCAATGTGAGACAGAAACACCCACTGGTTGCCTCCTGTACATACCCTGACTGGGGATTGAACCCACAACCCTTTGGAGTATGGGACAACGCTCCAACCAACTGAGCCACCCAGCCAGGGCCCTGTGCCCCTATTTTAGGTGGGGGTTAGAGGGCTAAGTAACACAATAGGCCACTCTGACTGCTCAGTAGCCACTATCAAGCCAGCATCTGGAATTGAGATTATAAAAGAACATTGGATCAGAACGAGTACTACAACTGCTGCCTCTAAAGGATATCAAGATGTTGACCATGGGTGAGCCACTGAATTATTGAAATCATGACAAAACGGATTGCAACAAGAGAGGGGAACCGAGAAACCAACACATTCTACTCAGAGGCCTGCGCGGCCGCAGTGAACCCACTCCTGGGGTCAGGGCTGAGAGGGCTCAACACCAAGCCCAAAGCCAGGACCCGCCTCCCACATGCTCCAGCCTTCATCGCACTCCCAGCAGACACCCCCCATCCTGCTCTCTGGCGAGTCCAAACCTCAGTCTGGGTGCCCTGCCCGGGGTGGTCAAGGACCCTTGCCAAAGCTCCCCGAGGTGAAGCCTGGCCAGCCTGTGTCCGATCGCCAGTGCTGCGGCAGGTCCTTCGGTCCTGGTTCCAGGTCCCACATGGAAAACAATTTTGTACCAACTTGCCAGAAACTCAAGGAAAGGGGCACCACAGAGCACAAACAGCAGTGTTCTTGAAAATCCGATCTTCCACATGCGCCAGGCTCTTGCCAATAAACTGAACAGAATAAGCTTCACACCCTGCCTTCAAAGCAGCTTGGGCCCAACTGAGCTCCCACCAGCATCACGCATCCAGCTCTTGTTTATAAAAGCACTTAATGTGCTCCAGAGCCACATGCAGGTTGGGGGGCCTTATCATTAAATTAAGGAATCAGAATTTGCTTCTTTCAGGAAAATGCAAAGGACATCCAGCAATCTGACACCGAAGCCTGACAGAAAGACGGTTTTCTGGATTAAGCTCTGAGGTTAGATCAGTGCGCACGTTAAAATTTTAAGTGTTTGTTTGACATACATTAAATAAGTCAAAATAAAATGTGTTATGGATTTTTTAAAAACCTGCTGAGTGACTGGAGGGTGAGAGAGACAGACACATTTTCCCCAGAAAACACAAAGGCAGCCAAAGTAAAGATACTATAGACCCATAAAGGAAGATCTTTTAAATACACAGTGAAAAATGAGCCCAGCGGGGGAGGGGGCCTTGCCCAAGGCACAGCCCACTACGGAAGTACCTTTCGGTGGAGGAGGCCACTTAAGGAATCATTATGGGGATGATGCCGAAGATGGAAGAGAGCTGGGGAAATAGACTGAATGAATGGTTACCCCAGACTGAGCACAAGATATTAGGGTGTCCACTCTTGGATGTCCCTCCTTGAACGGTCAGTGTGGCAGCACAGAGGAGTGTGCTCGCTGGGGAGGTGGTTCTAAGCCAAAGTGACTAAATAAATGTGGCTCAATCACAGAGTCCAGATGTTCCACACACCTGAGTTCTGAGAGAAGCAAAGGATGAAATGGGTGCTCAGTAGGCTAAAGACACACCGGCCACGGTCACACAGCGCTGGCGAGCCCCTGCCCACCTCGAGGACAGCTGGGGAGGCGGCACCGCATGGAACCTCTGCCACCAGGCCAACAGGCCAGCTGTACTTAGTCCAGAGCCAGCAGGAGGCTAGAATCTTCTGAGGGAAAAGGCAGTGGGATGTTCACAAGCAATAAAATCACATCTAACTATTTCATTAGAAGTGTCTAAAGTAAACGGACAAGAGAAAAACAGGGTCCTGGCCAGGTAGCTCTGTTGGTTAGTATCAACCCAATACACCAAGGTTGTGGGTTCGATCCTCGGTCAAGGCACCTATAAGACTCAATCAATGAATACATAAAATAAGTGGGACAACACCATCGATGTGCCTCTCTCTCTCTCAAATCAATAAATAAAAGAAAAAATTTTTAAAAGAGGAAAACAGGAAGCTGATGCAACTGTCAGCCTTCCAAAGACTGATGTTCCTTCAGGAATGTTCTAACACCTATCATTTATCAAAGACTTACGTGCCAGTCACTGGCGAAGCACTTCTCAGACATTTATCTCATTTCACCCTCACAATAATACCATCATCATCTTCTCCATTTTACAGGTGAGGAAACTGAGACCCTGGGACGCTGAGTAATATTCCCAAGGCCACAGAATTAGAAAGTGACAGAACTAAGATGTGAGCGCCAATATGTCTGATTCCAAAAGCTATACTCTTTCTTTCACATTCTACAGGAAAGTCATGCATCATGTAAGAGGAGGGGAAGAGGCTAGATTGTTGACCTCTTAACACCTCTTAACTGCTCCTTGTTAGTAAAAACTTGAGTCACTGAGAGGTTAATGTGGTGTTGGTGGCTTCGCCATGGAAGGGAAATGAAACGGGCATTACAACAGCAACGCATTGAGCAGGAGGCTCCCCAGGGTTGGGGCTACAACCATTCTTAAACACTTCTACAAATATCCCAAAAGACCACACGGCGAAACAATCAGGGTTGCAAATGAACTCTAACTTCCCAATGATGTGACCATGGGCAAACGGTGTTACCTTTCTGTGCCTCAGTGTCCTCACCTCTAAACTGTGAAAGACAGTGAGCGACTCCTTCTCCACAGGATAACTTGAGGCTTTGACAAGCAATGCAATTCCTTTTAACAGCGCCCTGGTTTCCCAGAGTCACCGAGCTCCTCTTCCTGCCGACTCTGATTCCTCCAAGAAATGGCCCTAGGAAAGAATTTTAAAAATGCACCTCAAGTACTGAGCACGGTGCCTGGCACAAAGCACTCAATAAACGTTAGCCTTAAAGAAGGAAAAAAAGGTGCCAAACTCTGGGTAACAAGGCAAATTTATGGAATGATCACAGGGAAGACTTTGTGTACGCAGCAGGGAAAGAAGCCAGTCAATTTTAACGCTGACAAGGGCGGTGCAATGCATTGAAGGGGTGAAAAAAGTCGAGATCATGGAAGAGCTCTGTGGTAACAGCCAGAATCCAGGAAAGGGACCTCTACGTCACCGCAGATCAGACTGTTATCCGACCGCGCTCGCAAAGGCCAAAGCAAACAAACAAAAAATCATTTTGTCCAGCGCCACTGCGAAAGTACTAAAAACAAAACGAGACACGTTGCCACCTACCCCCTATAAAATTGGAGACTTGTCCACACTGGGAACACTGGTTGCTGCCCAACAATAAAGATAACTTGTAAAAACAGAAGACAGTCACCTACACGGGCTGCGTGAGGGGGAGGGCACGCCAAAGCAGCCAGAGGGATCAAGGCCAGGAGGCCCTGTGAGAATCTAGCAAATGGGAACGATAAGGTGAGAAGCTAACTTTATCACCAAGTCCTGAAATGACAGAAAAGGGAGCACCTGCTAACACTCACGGGGGACCCGAAGAGGAGGTGCCTCCATACCCCAAAAGAAGGCAATATAAATGCATTACTAGGTCTGGGCAATTGCTTGAATGCTACGGTGGGGTTCCCCTGGGGTCAGATCCGTAACTATTTTCATTAACATCTGTGTAAGGGGCCTGAAGGCGAACGCATATGAAATAATTAAGGCTGCAAAATGTGCCGCTTCTCCCCAGCTAGGTGACCAGTGGCGGTGGCCCATGCCCTTCCAGAGAGACACAGCCAAGCCCCCACTTGCTACACTGGCTTCTGAAGGCTTGCATAGGGCCTGATGCAACAAATTTTTGCATTTTCCAGGAGTTCTCTGAGTTCCTCAGGTGAGGTCAGGAACTGTAAATCCAGATGCACACGCTATCCTTCTCCACACAAAATGAAACCATTAATAAAAGTACACGACAGTTGCTCTAGACCTTTTTTGAGAACACCCAAATGCTTCCAAGCGCCTCACCCCGGGCCTGTGTGTTGACGGGCCTCTGTATTCTAAAGATGGCACAGAGAAGGATCACAGGTGTGCTGGTCTCCAGTTAGGGAAGGAACTGGGTTTGGAACTGACCATCCAGGCCACAAGGTGCTGCTTATCCATCCTGTAACTCTTCTGCACACAACCACAACCAACACTCAGGCCAAAGTCCTTCGGCCGGGGAACCACACAGACCTGACTAGAGGGCCCAACCCTTCTAGTCAGCCAGTGCTAGCTCGTGGGGGCACACACCTAGCATGCCCCAAGTCCTGCCCTGGCCTTAGAAAACAACTGCTTTGTGTCTGAGCATGCTTCAAGCATGCCGTGGCCTGCATTAAGTCTAGGCTAGGAACTGACCTGGTCATGGATCTTCAATAGGACTCAAAATTACAAGTGTCCTATTACACAGCACCTCCCCTTTCTCAGTATCTACCCTACAGCAGGGGTCCCCAAACCCCTGGGCCACGGGCGGGCGGGCGAGCGAGCAAAGCTTCATCCCGCTCCCCAGCACTTGCCCTCCTGCCTGAGCCCCATCCTCCCCTTCTCCAAGGAAAAAACGGTCTTCCAAGAAACCTGTCCCGGGCGCCAAAACCAGTGGGGACCGCTGCCCTAGAGAGAAACACTCACCTGTGTTACAAAGAGACGAGTGCAGTCAAGTTTATTTTTAACAGCATTTGTAACCGTAGAGGATTTAGAAATAACTCTCAATGTCCACCAGTTAAGGGAAGGCTAAACAATGGTTTAGCCCTCTGATTCCAAGTAAGGCCCCTCAGGAGTTAAGCAAAATTGAGAAGACCCACATAAGGAGAGGAAGCAATGACCAAGACATACCGTGGTGGGGTGGGGTGGGGGGCACAATCCTTGCAGTGCAGTGCACTTTACTCCTTGGAAGATCTATAGGGATAAATGATTACCTGTAAAAGCATTTGAAAAATACCAACAATCTCGTGACAGCGGTTGAGCTCTGGGGAAAGGCTGGATTACCAGTGGCTGTCAAGGAAGATTTTGTTTGTTCTGGACGGTTTGCATTTTTTTTTTCCTGTGGAGGTGTTCATGTACTACTTGTGCCATAAAATATCATTTAACCATTTAATTTAAAAGAGAGAGAGAGAGAGAAACTGACCCTGTTCAGTACATTTCAATGATATGTCTGGGGGCACATGCTTCCCAGGCAGCCGAGAGCTCAGCAGTGCAAAGCGCTGGGCTTTGCAACACGGATCTTGTTTCAATAGTACAAGCCCAACTCCGTAACTCTGTGGATTGTTAAATTTATATGCTGGTTCAAGGAAGAGGCAGGGAAAAAAAGAGAAAGTGTGTTGGGGGCTTCTGGGTAATCCAAAGGGATGTCCTAGGAATTGTTCCAGACCGGAGGATTCCAGCTCTCCAACACAACAAACTAACACACACACATACCACACCCCAATAATGGTAGCCCTCACCCAATCACACTTATTCCTAACATTAATCTGGACCCTGTGGATACTGAGAAAAACCTGAATACTCCATTAGAGAGACTTCAAAACATGACTGACTCACCAGGACTACCTAACCACTTAGGATACTGATTTTTAAACACATACCCCCTCCACCTCTTCAAAGCACAATGTATGAAGTCCTCAGGAACACAAAAGTCTAATATTAAGAACCTAGCCGGAAAAACTAACCTAGGGTGATAGAAATCAGAGCTGTAGGCCTTCTGGTTGGGGGAGGATAATCTGGAAATAGTCACGAGGAACATTTCTGGGGTGATGGAAATGCTCTGTCTTGAAATGCATTTGTCAAAACTGATTAACCAGCACACTTAAGATCTGAGCATTCCACTGTATGCAAATTATACTTCAAATTAAAAAAAAAAAAAGAACTGCTCAAACACAGTTTCTCTGCCAGCTGCAGCCGAACTTTGAGCTGTCCTATCAGACATCTGAAATCTCTGTTATGCTATGTAAAGAGCACAGAGTACCATAGCGACAGTCACCATAAAAATAGATAACAAGATTAAAATGGATAGAGGACACATGAATTTAAGAACGGCACACCAAGAGCAATTCGTTTTCAGCAGAAGAAAAATAGAAAGAGGAGAGGGAGTTTCTCATTCCCCCTGCACACTGAAAAACGCTGAATGTGGTTGTTTTTACTAAAAGTGTTTTATGACTTCCCAATACTCTAAGGACAAAAAAGGCTGAGAACTGTTATTTCTTATTGTATTTTGCTTAAAAAAAAAAAAAAAAAAAGGAGCATATGGTAGTGCAAGTTTTTCCCATACCACCCGACGGGGCCCAGGGAACCCATTCGTAGCAATTCAGCAAGCAAAGCTGATGTGCCATACACCGTGTGGGGCCCAAACAACACTGAGATCACGAAAAACTTGGCCCTTTATTGCCAATACATGAAGATTTCCAATTTTAGTTCTCAAATTACGAGGTTCTGGCCCTGGCCAGTGTGGCTCAGTGGGCTGGAGTGTCGTCCCATAGGCCAAAAAGTGTTGCAGGTTTGATTCCTGGTCAGGGAACAAAGGAGAGAGCAACCAGTTGGTGTTTTTCTTCTCTCTCTCTCTCAGCAATGAACAAAATGTCCCCAGGCAAAGATAATAATAACAACAAAAATAACTTTTTAAAAAACAACTTCTGCCTATATTTTTACATACTTTTACTAAAACTGTCATTTCCTAGGCCGTGTACCCCAAAATTGCCTTGTTCCATGTGAAGAGACAGCACCGTCTTGCCAAATGCTGATTTTTCAAATGCCAAAGTGTACGCCTGGACCTTGTGGAGACAGAAATCATCTTGTGACATTCTCTGACGATGAGATGAACCTCTGTTCTCTTTGCAGAGTCTCTAAGAAGCGTTTGCTGTGTGAGTTAGCCCTGGCTGTGCCCCCCTCAGCAAAAAAGCAATCCAAAAATATCAGGAAGAAGAGCTAAAAATTTTAAATGATCAGGATAGCTTCTCGATAAACCATAAATTTAAGTAAACTTTAGGCAAAATTAAACTAATCAAATTTTCTACATGTAAGCTATAAATAGTAAAAATGCAAAATGAAAAATTTTTAACTCAAACCACAAACTTACTTTCTGATATAAACTATATATATGCATTTTGGGAAAATCCCACTCAAAAGTTTCTTTGAATTTATCCATCCCTTGTCCTCTTTGCCACTAAACCTGCAGAGCAACCGCTAGGCCCTCTGCCAAGCAGGAGCCCATCGTTTAGTTAAAGGGCCCTGTCTTGACTCACTCATTATACTGACTACAACTGGCCAATACAAACACTAGTCTTTTATATGTCAGTCTATTTTATTCATTATTATTTGCCATTTCCACCCAAGCCCCAATATTTTCACTTCCTTAAAGACCAAACGCGGCCCTGACTGGTGGGGCTCCGTGGGTTGGGGGTCATCCTGAAAACCGAAGGGTCACGGGTTCCATTCCCAGTCAGGGCACACGCCTGGGTTGTGGGCCAGGTCCCCGGCTCGGGGCGTGCGAGAGGCAACTGATAGATGTTTCTCTCCACACTGATGTTTCTCTTCCTCTCTTTCTCCCTCCCTTTCCCTCTCTCTAAAAAATAAATAAATAATAAAAATCTTTTTGGAAAAAAGACCAAATTCCATTTTCAGCAGCGCTGTGGCCACGAACTGAGTCCTGACCCATCTTGAAATAGTTCTCTTCATCCTTTCTAAAGTGACCCTAAAAGAGTCTCTCAAAAACATGGAGACCCATTTATAAACACTTTTAGAAGAGCTTACATGATGATATTGACTCAAATACTATGCAACTAAAGGTGTAAACCCCATTCCACATTATCTCTCAGCTCTGACAAGTTACCTAATAACCTGATCCTAAGAACAGGAAAGGACTTCGG